AGGGGGAAATCTGTGTTTAGTGTACTCCTTTGTAGGAGACACAGGAGGACCATCTTCTACTTGACTGGAGAGGCGCTCATAGTTTGAGTGAGTTAACCTCTATGATCTGCTGCAGGATGTTGTCTACGTCTGCCGACTCTAAACTAATGCCAGCCAGGTCCAGCTGCGGCAGCAGAGCCGTTAGGAGCACCACCACGTTGTTACGGATGTCACACAGATTCTGCTGAGCTGATCTGATGAGACAAGAGAAGATGGTCATCAAACGCTGCTTTGCTAAAACACTTTGAATACCATTTTTCAAATTTTAGATAGAGCGTAAAGCCTTGGTCTCTTATTTAAATGGTGCAGTTAGAATGAGCTTTAAATGTAATCGTTTTACAAAAGGAAGCACAGAATAATGATTTATTTTCATTTAGTACGTCTGAAATCCCTAAATAAAAAATGTTGCTACTAAATTACTTCAAAAGTCTGATTAGGTTTATTTAAAGCCGTAGAGGATTCCGGAGAATAGAAACCCGTGGCCCCACCCACCAACCATTACCACGGCCAACCTGACAGCCTAAACTCATTCTAGCAGGTTTCTTTCCATACCCATATAAGAAGGGATGTGTTGGTGAAACACCTCACTCTGTTATCAAAGAGTCTTTTTCTAACTTTGCTCGGTGTTTCACTATGGAAAATATGGCCCAGTCCCGAAGCCATGCGTGATTGGAAACCCAATTCAGGTCTCAGGTGGATTCTGACATCCCCACTTCAAGCACTGAGTGTGCTAGTGATGGTTGGGCCACATCCAGCCTGTAAAACTTTACAAATGTGTGCAATGTGGCCCAGCTGGCTGCAGCACAGATGTCCTGGACCGACACACCATGGAAAAAAGCCCAAGAGGTGGCCATGCTCCTAGTATAATGGGCCCTCACCCCTTTAGGGGGCTCTGAGCCTGCGCACCTATACCTACCAGATGGTCAGCTCTTCTAAAACAGGCTGTCCTGTCCACATAAACTCTTAAAGCTGTCACTGGACATAAGCAATGAAGCTTCTGCTCTTCTGTTAAAGAGAACGGGGTGGATGGAATACCAGCAATTCCACCATAGAACACCTGTATGACGACTCCAACTCTTTAGGCACAAAAGCAGGGTTGGGTCTGAGGCCCACCTTAAAGAGCCCGGGTGCCCACCTCAAACAAGCCGGACCGACTGAAAATGCATGCAACTCACTCACTCTTTCAGCTGTGGCCACGGCTAAGAGCAGGGCCATTTTCAGTGAAATAAACTAGATCCCATAATGGCACCAGAGGCTTAGAAATGGGCAACTTACGTTGTGTCGCTCTCATGAAACAATACACTAAGGGGTACTGCCCCACAGGTTTACTACCAAACCCAATGTGACAAGCAGAGATTGCAGCTAAATAAACCTTAATGCTTGAGAAAGTTTTACCCTTCCCTAACAGGCTTCTGGGTCTGACAGGGAGAAAAAGAGAGAGCAATGGGCCGAAAAGGTCTAGGGCAGCCGCATCGCTGGGAGATCTGCTCCACCACCGAAGGATGCAGCTTCTATTCTACAGAGGGCTCCCCTTGGATAAAAGATTGGCCCCTGTGTTCAAAATCCCTGGTATGTGCATTGCTCGGACCGATTGAATTATAGTGCTGCTCTACATAATTATGTAATGGCCAGTCTGTGTATCTGCAGGGAACTGGTCCTGCCCTGGCGGTTGATATAAGCCACCACAGTGGAGTTTTCGGTCTTTACCAAGATGTGTTGACCCATCAGATCGGCATGAAGTGTTTCAGAGCGAAGAACACTACATGCAGTTCCATCATGTTGATGTGAAGCCGTGCCATTTTCGGTGACCATATGCCATTCACTGTTCTGCCCATCATAGTTGCACTCCAACTGGTCAGGCATGCATCGGTAGTCAGGGTAAGCCTGGATGCTACTGACTCCAGCGGCATGCCCACCGTGAGAACCGTAGGGTCTCTCTCTTAACAGATGATGGTGGGGACAGAGTCGCAGTGACACGACCCACAATTAAATAGTACCTCATCATCAGAAGCCCCAGATGGACTAAGAAATCATGGACGCCATAAGGCAGAGGAGCCGCAGGTACAGTCTGAATGAAACAACGTTTCCTAGCTGAAACTGCGTCATGCACTGAGTAAATGATAGTGTGACACGATAAGAGAGGGAATTTATCCTGAGACTCAAATACTCTGTGCATTGCATAGGAATCTGGCGACTTTTTGCCCAGTTTATCCTGAACCCAAGGCTGATGAGGTGGTTAAACACTGGGAGGAAGTCGCTGGCTGCCTTCTCGCTGCATCGAGACCAGATGTGATAGTCATCTATGTACGAGAATATTATGATCCCGCGTATCCTCGGAGGGGATAGTAGTTGACTCCCTCATCTTCTCAAAGGAGGGGCCAAATAGACCTTTTGTTGGGTCATAAGTTGCATCCATAATCTCAGCCATCTGGGAATCACTCAGGCCTGACAGGTTTAACCATAGGCCTCTTTACCCTGAGACAGCCAGACCCATGACATGACCACAACCTTGGACTGCACCTCTAGAGGAGCATAAGATGAGATTATTCACCACACAAATCTTATCCCATAGACTGGGGTTAGGTGTCCCCGAGTCCAGTTGACACCTCATCTCCTCCAGAATCTTGCCTTGGTACACAGACAGCAGTGTAACAACGTTGATCGAGCACAATGGCTGACCAGCATATTTGTACATCCTTTGGTAAATGGAGGCGATGAGCAATCCATTTTACCTAGGAGCAAGATGCTAGAAGATGCTGAAACCGATCTGCAATTAGTTGGTGGAGGTAGTAAGCCACTGAAGGCCCTACTGCTGAGGGTTCTGCCAGCCCCAGCTCACCCATGCCCTATATCTCCAGCTTTGTGGGAAGCTTGCTCTTAAATGCAAGCAGGGACGACTGGTAAAAGCTGCTTTGCTGATGGTAAAGCAGATGGAAGACTTTTACCATCATTCAGTTCCCGTTCTGCTACTTCTGAATCCTGAGCTGCTGGCCAGGGGATGTTCACCTTTAGAGTCGCCTGTCTGCAAACATCGTACAGGACACTGTCCCCTGGGGAGGTGTCATCTGCCCTGCTTGGTGGCCTGGAGTGTTGACCTGGGAAGGTCGAGTCCTCCTCTTGCTCCATGTCGTCTAGTTTAAGGAGGTCAGAGTTAGCATCACCCTCCGTTTCGTCGATGCCTGCATCAAGCTTACCTCTGTCCATAAGGCCCGGGTAGTCCTCCTCCATCATGTCTGCCTAGCTCTTAGAAGCTTATGGCTGATGGTTTTCACCTGCCGCCGCAACGGCTGAAGGTGAGGAGGGGCAAGGGTCCTGGCTGTTAACGACAGCCACCCCCAGCAACTCTCCAGGATTTTTTTACGGCATCGATGCACAGTGCTGTCATCCCTGAGGGTCAGCCAGCGACGCCTGAACGTTTTTAATGCCCATGCATGACCTAAGCTTTGGCAGGGGTGGGAGCCGCAACCATGATATTAGACGAAAAAAGAGCTTGTCGTTAAACTTTAGCTCTTAAATAAACTCGTCCGACACGACGCGTTAACTAGACTCTCATGCTAGCGATATACCGCTAACCAAAAACCAAGCCTACCTTTACACGTTAACTTAGCTGACACAAACGCTCTCTATTCAGGTACAGGTACACAGTACAGGCCTGTCATGGTATTGCGTTCAGCAAAAATGCCTAAGAACCGTTAAACAGGTCCAAGCTAACCTGAACGCGCTGAGGGAGCTTAGCTGTAGACTTTACAAAGGAAGAAGGTGAGAATGAGTTCAGGCTAGCGGGTCGAGCCATGGGCACGGCTCCACCTGTCTGTCAGAAACAGACGTGATGTCATTGTAGCTTCCGTAGTTTGTCACGCCAAGGCAATTCTCCATAGTGAAAGACCGAGCAAAGTTAGAAAAAGAACCAATTTCTTTCAAAAATCTTTTGAGCCCAGTGAGATAAAGTATGTAGTCATTGTGTGACTCTTTACCTGTTTTCATCACAGCCGTCGCCGTCACTCACTCTAACTCGGCTCTGACTTTCACTCCTCTCCTTTCTTGATCTGCTCTCCATGCCTGGCGCTGAAGTGGAGCACTGTTGGACACAAAGAGCATGTTCATAGGCTGCTACAGGATACTTCCTGATTCTTTCAAAATTAATTTGCATATACTTGGGTTTCATGCATTTTAAATAAATAAATTTAGCTTGTCACTTGATGCCACTTTTTGAGATCCTCTTTCTTAATTAGTGAAATGCCTATTTTCGGCAAGAAATTAACTGTAGGAACACAAGAAAACTCTATTTCTTTGCAAGAGCAGCATGTGATTTAAATAATGACCTCAGGCATGGTAGTTTGGCATCCAACGTCCTTGCTTGTTGTGGATGCGGTCGATCTCCCCATCCCGCCTTTCTCAGCAACACTGTCAGCAGTCGTCATGGTGCCTTGCGTTTTCTTGGAAACCTCCAACCCCAGAAGGCTCCTAAGCCGCTCAGCTTCCCTCTCCAAAGCAGCTAGCTTCTGCACCTTGACTTCCCGCTCCCCCAGCTCTGGAGGCAGTGCTCTGCTCTGTGGCCGTTCTGTCCTCAGTGGGGACACCACCACGGTCTGGGTGGCTTGTGTGGAGTAGGTCCAGGTGTTGTTGGTTGGGTTTTGCTGCAAGTTGTTTGGTTTCTCCACTTGGCTGCTGCTGTCCTTTCTAAACGTGTTTGTTTGTTTCTCAAGAGGCAGATGCTCTGCAGCGTTCCCCGAGTCCAGCTGCTGCTGTCTCCAGCGCTTTTTTGTTATATAGGTAAAAATAGGTTCAGACTTTCTTTTGCGGCTGAAGAAAACAAAGAACAGGTGGTTAGTTCACTTTGTCACGTTGAGATATGTCTTAACATTTTCTTTTGTCACACTCAACTAATTTTCCCACACAACAGCACCCCCCTGTGGTGATTAGTTCCTCTGTATCCCACCTGAAAGCCTCTGTGTGCTCCTCCTCTCTCTCCACTGCCTCCATCTGCTTCTCCACTGTCTCCATCTGCTTCTCCACTGTCTCCATCTGCTTGTCCTCGTCCTCCTTCTCTTCAAGCCTCTGGTCATATTCCACATTTTCAGCTTCCTTCAGCTCTTCATTGACCAATTTGCTTCCAGCAACCTTCCCTTGGTATTGTATAACCAATCGAGTTTTTATCTCATCGTTTGCGTGATTGTCTTTCTGCAAACATGCCTCGTCCTGATCTAGTCTCTTTTCATGTGTACCGTCTTCAGGTTTGTTTGGGGACGGGGAACAAGGTTGCTTTGAGGAAATGGGTGACAGGGTTTCATTCTTTTCTGCGAGTTCCTCTGAGTGATGAACCTGAAACACAACCAGGTATGCTCATAAAAATTTTACAAATCTGGCTTGTTGAAAACTGTTGCTAAAAATACTACGCACCTCTCGTGATTTCTCTCGTTTCCTACTTCTGGACTGGTCTCTGCAGGAAAAAAATAGATACAGTGAGACATTGAAGGCACTGGAAACAGAACTCAGATGCAAACATGTTATGTCATGTTCTTATTGTTTACACACACATTCTGCTTTATAAAACACTGGATTGCTGTCAGTTAAGACTTTAAAACCCTGTTTTGAGTGTCCTTTACTAGTGTTTTAGTCAAGACCACTTAACCCAAGTCCAGGCCGGGGCCATTACTGTCCTTAGTAAGAGCATATTAGTCACCGAAGGCCCTGATTTAACAAGGTTTTCTGGTTTTATATAGTTATATACTTGGAAATGAGTTTAAATTTCCCATGAACCGGCTGGCACGGTGCTTCACTAACCACTTCTCAAGGCTTAAATCTTTCAAGAAGTGTTCCGCTTCTTTAAGTATTTAAAGATTTGATCAGTCTTGCCAGCTATTTCCTTAAAAAGGAAGAAGAGATCTTGTACAAACCCTTTTCCTCACAAAGACATTTGTGAGGAAACTGCACCGTTTGAACTTTATACATTTTTTTTCCCATTTCTAAATCAGTGTCTTCACATGTTTCTGCTTGCTGCTAATATTTTTTATTTTTTTCCAGTGTTTTATTGTCATTACACTGTCATAAGTACAGCGCAACAAAATTCACTCTCTGTTTTAAACCCATCCCCTTGGGGAGAAGTGGGCTGCCATTTGCAGCCGGGGAGCGGTGTGGGGTTAAGGGTCTTTGCTCAGTCTATTGTAGTGGGTTTCCCACTCACAACCTCAGGATTCTCAGAGCCTTATGTGGCTCTTTAGAGTCCCCCTTGCGGCTCCCTAGAGCTTTTTCAAAAAATTATAATTTTTTTATTTTAATATGGTGTGCAGGAGCTGAAACAAAAATGAATTATGTTTTCCAATGCTGTAAACATTTGTATAATAAATAAATGTAAACAATAATTTGCGTAATAGCCATAGAGATCAGTGGTCATAACTTGCAACCAGCGTGAAGCGGTGCCCGGCAAACAGAGCTGCAGGTGTGTGACCATGATTCCAAAGGGAAAAAAGGAAGATAGCTGATGAGAAGAGACAATTCAAAGAACAGAGAATAATTTGCTTTCATTATCAATGCGGAAGGATTGCCTGCATGTTTGCTTTGTAATGAGAGGTTGTCAAAAAAGAACAAGAAAAAATTTGGAAAGGCATTTCCAGGGAAGGCATGCTAAATATGCAGCCGACCACCAAGTTGAGAATGAGAGAAAAAGTGCGATTGCAGAACTTCTGGATAAATTAGAGGATAGCAAAGATAGATTTAAGAAGTGGATTGCATCTCCAAACTCCACTCCTGCTGCTGGTTTAGTTGCAAGGATGGAAAAGCGTCCACAGATCAAACAAGTAGCGCTCTGATGCAGCTATGTGAACTTTCTGCCATTTCTTTCCCAAATCCTGAAAATAAAAATAACACCAAGGAACCCTGGTGACAGAGGATGTGGGAATTTCGGGTTTAGAGAGCTCTGCTCTGATGGATGTCAGTTCCTGCTTGGTTCCTCATGACTTAATCAACTCCTCCCAACAGAAACACCCATCCGTCCATCCATCCATTTTCTTACACGCTTAATCCCAAGCGGGGTTGCGAGGGGTGCTGGTGCCTATCTCCAGCTGTCTACGGACGAGAGGCGGGGTACACCCTGGATAGGTCACCAGTCCATTGCAGGGCCAGAAACACGTCCACCATAGAAATATTTTTTTATTGTGTTTCTATAATTTCATCAATGCAACAAAACCTAAACCGCTGTAATGGGGGGAGAAGGGTGGTGAAGCAGCACGTGTTGAATTTCACCCAGTAAGAGCCTCCCTGACCTCATGCTACTGACATTTGCTCCAGATAAACATTTAACCATGAATGCTTATTATATATTTAAGCCCACATAGTCCTTTAGTATTGTGGTTTAATACACTTTGAGCCCGTGTTGCCATACGAGGCATATATAAGACTGTTACATTTTTGGGGCTCCAGATAGATTTTTTTTTTGTTTCTTTGGTCCAATATGGCTCTTTGAGCAGTTTGGTTTGTAACCCCTGCCCTAACCACTTTTCTTATATTTTACTCTTCAAAATTAGGAATAAAAATAAGCCTGATTTGTGCTGATATTGTATTGGGATTAATATCGGTTGAGACTGAAAGCTGCAATATGCATATCATATCGGGAATGATAAAGTTGTATCAGGACATCCCTAACGCCTATTTAGGGGTGTGGGAAATAAGCGTTTTGGCGATATATCGTGATATTCGGCTGCCCAATATAATATCGATCTTTCACTTCTTAGTATCGATTTTCAAAAACAAAAATGGTTACATAAAACATTGATGGGGAAATGGGCTACCTCTGCACCACCACTCTGGCAGAAAGCGCTGTGGAGCCCTTTAACTATGCGTGCAGCACCAAATCTGTATTTGAGGCAGTCACAGTGCAAGAAAACCCCAAACAACATGGATAATAATACCTAATCAATATTTTCTGATGAAAATATACAGCACTTGCTGTTTTATCTCATCATTAGATTTTTTTATAGCTGGGGAAAATATGGCAATATACAGTGATACTGCAATATCGTGATAATATCGTATCGTGACCCAAGTATCGCGACATGTATTGAATCGCAACACTCATGCCGATACTCACCTCTACGCCTGTTGTGCAGAAAATGTCTTAAAAATGTTTTGCATGGTAACATTTGCACATATTTCATGCAGGGTTTTCCAGCTGCATAGCAGACCTGGACGTGAAGGCAAGAGAGAGCCTGCCTGCAACTTCTAACTACCATGACTGGAAGGCATTTAGCCCTACCCTCATTAAACTAAATTTAAAGGAGATAGATTTGTTCTACATGTCTATACATTTGCTGTTTGATAAAACAAATCTGCAAAAGACAAGTTTGTGAAAAATTGCCCTTTTCCTAGAGTGATAGGTCACTTCTAATGGGATACTTTTACAAACCGCAGCTTTATCTACTGCTCTGAAGAGGAGCATTTTCACTGGATGCATGTTGGTTAAGGCAGGAGAGGACTTCAAGATTGTTTTCTTGTGACCTTCCTCATCAAAACGTTCTGTTTATTGATACTACAGCAGTACCCTTCACTTGTTTAAAACTGGTTTTACTATTGACTATAGTCCTTAAGGTCTCTGAATAGGGTGTGTAACATTGGTTGGGCTGAAAATGGCATATTTTCTGTTCTTTGAGCCCTAATGCAGGCCTGGTTAAAAGGCCAGGAATGAAACAACAGCTTTTCTTCCTTTTATGGTATGTTCATGAATATTTAGATGAGCTGTGCGCTGATTGGTTGGTTTACAAAGAGGGAAGCTGCTGAGCAAAGATACATCATAGCAACAAGCACTCACTCACTGAAACATCGAGGTTGTTGGTATGGTAGGATTACCTCTTTTTCCTGGACATGTCTGAGTTTTCATACCTAAAAAAAATGTCCGGGATTTTGGTTGACTACAGTGCAGCAGAACCGAGCCGTAAACTCCGGGGCTGGTCCAGGAACCCCGGAATCCCCCCCCCCCCAAGGGCATGACAAAAGTACAGGCCAGAGCCAAATAAGGCAACATCCCCAAGTTTACGTCAACTCGGTGCTTCATTTGAGTTTGCCCGTTTTATGGTGGAAGTTTAGAATTGTGAGATATGCAGAGAAAGGAGGAACTTCTCTGTACGTCCATTTCACCCACTGAACTATCGTTATTCATCTATGACAATGTAAACTCGGTTTTGCATTCTATGACCTCTTTAAGGAAACCAACGAATGAGTTCCCTCAAATGTAAACCAGTCACTTAAAAAAAAAGCAAGATGGTTACATAAGGATAAAAAAAAATTTACTCTTTACCTAGACTGTATCAGACTGTTGATCTTTCCCTTTATGCCACATAAAATGGATTTTACCAACACAACAAGATCAAAGAGTTCTTGACAGCAGCTTTTGAAAGATCCCAATTCCATTTGGGCCTACAGGTCAAGCCGCAAATTTAACATCAGTATTTTATAGGATGCTCAGAGAAACTGACTGCTGTGAAACTGGTGGCCGGTCGGGTCATTTCACCGCCAATATCTTGGAAATCCAACATCTCACTCAGTGAATGAACCATCTGTAATCCACACCTGCAATAACAAGGCTCCTCTGTGTCGGAGCTGCAGATGGGAAAATATACAGTAATTGCAGCTTTTTTTCAATATAAGTAATATTTCCAGTGTAGAAAGTGCAAACATCTTGTATTTTGTGTCTTTTAAACATGTTGCCAAATACCTGCACACATGAATAAAACAAATTTAGATAAATAAAAAAAAAAATGGATAAATCTGGTATTTTTCAACACTGCAAACTTACATTACTCAATAGACCTTTCTTTGGTCCATTAAGGTAATTTCTGGTCATCTAACTTTTTAAATACTGAAGCTAAAAAAATACTAGTTAAAAAATAGTATTAGGGGTATCAAGTAGAAGAGCACACATCCCATCAATACTTCATATAATATATGCTTCATTTGGATGCTGTGTTGCTAAGTTTTTAAAATAAAGACTTTTTCAATGCAACTAAAAACTGTAAGCCTCAACTTTTTTTGAGTTAACTGCAACATCTAAACAAAGCAACTAATTCACCTGATATTCTTTTCAGAGCCCAAAACAAGAAAACATTTGAATCTATGGAAATTCTACCCTGCATTCAAATGAGGTTTTATACAGGGTAGTAATTTTAAAGCGCAGTAAAACAGGAAGTTATTACCGTATATGGATGATGATATTGTGTCCATTGTAACATTGTCGTGATGCGTATCATCCTGTGTTTCTGTTAACACAGACTTGTTTTCTGAACTAAAATACTTTTACTTAGAGATGAAACTGTAAAGGAAATGTTTGGGCTCTAGAACTACAAATATATTTCATTCAGCAAACCTGTGTAGGCTTAAAGCGAAAACAACATAGTTTATACCGAAACTAATACCAATGTCAGAGTAACCGGTCAAATGCTTTCCTACAAGATTCTTTGTTTTATTATATATATATTTTTTAACATTTTAGTCTGTGAAGCTATACATAAATATGGGAATTAGAGGCTGTTTAAGTCTAGCCTGGGTGCCATTCCGAACTTAGTCCCTCCCACAACGTTTGAGGTCGGAAGGTTCGGTCTGGCATTGCTCAACAGTAGCGCGAGTATGCTAGCACAATATCTGGTGGGCCAATCAAATTGTCAGGGCGGGCTTTATACGATGATGGACAGATGATCAACAGTAACGTAATCAACCACGGGACCAAAGCGCGCTTGTGTGACAACAACAATGGCTGCCGCTGGAGAGTTGAGGTGTGTAGATTCTGCTATTAGGTCTGTTCTAGAAGATATCGACAGCAAATTAATTTTAAAAGAGGAACAGAGAAACGCGATCAAGGCTCATCTTATTATAGGCGTGCAACTGCACGCTTTGATTTTTGTTGACAACAACTATGCCTCGCTTAACATACGTCACGCACTCCGTTGTTCTTATTGGTTGTAGGTCTATTCAATTGAGTGCAGAGGCATTTTTTTCCCTGGTTCATTCAAAACACGCCCCATAATCACAGCTCTATGGAGCAGTATCAGACTCATATTCTGACTAGAATTGAGTAGGACTACGTCAGGCTAGTTTAAGTCTCTCCAACTGTCCAAATATGTTATTATAATATAATAATTGTAATTGAACTTCACACTGGAGAAATGTACCTCTGCATTTAACCCATCCCCTTGGGGAGCCGTGGGCTGCCATTGTGTGTCGCCTGGAGCAGTGACGGGTTAAAAGTCTTGATCACAGACCCAGAGTACAGGCTGTGGGAATCAAACCGTGGACTTGGACTTGCAACCTTCTCAGAGCACAAGTGCACTGCTCTAACCAGGCTAACACTCCCCTATTAGTATAAAGGTCCTGAATTAGTATAAAGGTCCTGTAAAAGTGCGGAAAGCCTGAGTTCCTTTAAATCAAGACTAAAAACACATTTTTTAGGATTGCCTTCGACTGTTCTAGTTAAAAAGTTCAACTGAAACATCATTAGTTCAACTTTTTTATTTGCTTTAGTACAACTGTTTTTAAAGTTCTTTTTTGTTTCTGCATTTTCTATTTTATTTTTTTCCCTACTTGCTTTGATTCTGTTTCATGTCCCTATATTCTAATCATGTAAAGCACTTTGAATTGTCTTTTTACTTAATTGTGCTATACAAATAAATTTGCCTTGCCTTGCCTTAAATGCCTGACACTTCAACTAAAATACTCTATCGAAAATTGTGTCAAAACAGTGAAATTGTGATACCGAACAAACCGACCAAGTTGACTGTGATTCGATAAAGTGAGCAGATTTATAAATGAAGTTAGAGATTTTTTTAAATACAAGGTTAAAGCTTAGAAAGATGATTTTACTCATAAATTAAGTGTTCAGATTCATCTAAAATGACTTAATTGATGGATGGAGTTCTTGCGCTTATTTTGGTATGATGTGTAGATTCTGTACAATCGCTGCATGGCTAATCTGGTGACACAGCTGCTGGGAGTAATTTAAAAGAAATATGCTGATCAAGTCCAACCCAGAACACAACTAGTTGAATTAATCTGTTTTTTTCTGATGTTTTACAAACAGACCCGCATTGTGAAACACGTTAAATTAAACCTCTCTGTTGGGAACTGGTTTGTTAGCTTTCTGAGCTTAAATCTGAGATAGTGACATTGCTAGTAAACATTTACTACTTTTATCTTTTCTGAGCATTGTGTTATGCACTGATGTCAGGTTATGTTGTTTCTGAATGCAACATTATCAGCAACTTTAGGCGTTGAAAAATAAAAAACTTGCTACGTGTAGTAGCACGGAAAAAGTGTATACTAATGGGTCATCAGTGACATTTTAGGTTTGAGGTCTGACTTAGTCATTCTTTAGCATGATTTCATAGTGAAATAAAGTTTCTTCCATTATCAGAAACACGTGCTGTCACATGGAGAGTGGAGCCTTCAAATTTAGGGCTGAGAAACTGACAAATGGAAACCACAAAACCGTGCACACATGCACCCAGTCGCACAGAAGACTGTGTTAAAAGGTCTGTGTGAGAGGTTTAGAGAAATAGGAATTTACATTTTCTTGTGGTTTTTTTGGTAGCTGGGTGTTAACTGTTCCTCGCTCTCCTCGGTTTCCTCTGGCGAAGAGCAGCTTCTGCAAAGACATGAGGCCCAGCAAAAGGTCAGCCACAGCTAAAGTACAGTTAGGCAAGCATAAACCCACAACACTGATGGCCAAAGGAACTGTTGTTTTTTTTTTTCTCCCTGCAATTCAACAAATACTACTACTTGCTGAACTGGGTTAAAACAAAAAAGAAAAACAAGTCTTTCAAAACACTGTAAACATACTCCACCTGTAACGACGATTGGGGTTTAGGCTGCAGGTCCAGTTTTCAGGAGTGACCTTATAATAGTGTGGTGGGACACTTCGCCATTTGAGACATTCTTCACACTGTAACCACAATGGACCCCTGTGAATGCAATCAGAGCTGCTGGTTACCAGAATAATTCAAGCATTTCATAATCAATTATTATACTTCTAAATATTATGGTTATATCTAGATAGCAAAGAATAATATATAGAATACAATCTGCTGAATTTTTCGAACTTTTTTCTATTTCACTGTGGTTTAAAACTGTGTTCACAGGCCTGCCTCAGCATGTTGCTTCAGAAACTGCTCCTCATACCAAATATGTTTTCGGTTTTCCAAAACCTGAAAGACTTTAGCATGAGGAAAGTTATTGAGAGATGTATATCATCACTGCTTCATGCTGCCACGTGGAAAGGGTTATAAAAATGCTTGAGGGAAAACATAATAAAGATGGAAGATATGTTAAAATAGGAGGTTAATGTTATTTTAAATAAT